CCTCGCATTCCTCTCCGTACGTCCCATCAGGACAGAGTTCGTCGCAGTTCGTCCCCGTCCATCCCTTCTCGCACACGCACCGTCCAGTGCCTGGTCCAAACTCAAACGTCTCAACTTCGCGCAATTCATCGCTTTCGGGAAATTAGCGACGTATTTAACGTCTAAACTGACTTTGAGCATGATGCTCAGTAACCTCAATTAGTCGCAAGAAGTTGAATAATTGAGAGGTTGCATGGAACTAGGTCGCTTTTTCTTTACCGTCCCCAAAAATTATTGTAAAATAAATTATATTATTTACTATTTTTGAGCCGACGAACCTCGAACTCTAGGGTTTTACTTCTTTGCGTCTCGAATAGATTTTTCTTCGTCGCTCTTCGATTATGTACAATAAGACAATCATTTGGGGTTCAGATTCGAATTCTCTCTGAGAGGCAATGAGAGTTCTCAAACGTGTTTTAGCGTATCCTTAGGATTAGTAGGTTTTGGGAAGGTCCGACTTAAACTTGCTTTTGCTCCAGTAAAAGAACCAACGGTTTTATCGAAGAGGTTCGTGGAAAGCGTTTAATTACCGTCTTGTTTTGGGAAGCAATTGCTATACAATAAAAAAATCCAAACAATTTTCAAATTGAATTAAATTACAAGAAAATCAGAACAAGTTGCGCAATTTACCATGGGCACCCAGTTTGCATATGCATGAACCAGTCACTGTATCACACCTTTCGACGAATTTCAGGTCGCAATCACACTTCTGGGAACAATTCGGACCGAATCTCATCGAGTCGCAAGTTTCCTCGCATTGCTCGCCCTAAAGAAAAAAAGACATGCAAATAAATGTTGCAGGTATCATGCCACGGCGCCATGCAGATCTGAGGCATTAGAAGATGCGGAATAGGGAGATATACCTGGAAACCAGGCGCACAGAGGCAAGCCCCCGTTTCACGATCGCACGTGGCTCCATGGAGGCAGGAGCATGTTTGCTTGCAGTCGGCCCCGAACATCCCTTCCTGGCACGGAAGGGAACAATCTTCTCCTTCCCAGCCTAAGAGCAAGAGCGAAGTTCAGCTTTCTCCTCTTCTGAGATTTCCTAAAGGTCGAGGTTTGCTTGGATGTGGGGGAGTGTCTGTGTG